ACCCCTGCTCAGGCTGGAAGCTGTTCACAGCGGCCCCTGGGTGAATAGGGGGTGCCCTCTGCCTGCTCTTCCTTCCACATGTCCACGGCAGCCGCTAAGGAGGGAAGCAGGGAGCCGGGAGAGCACCGCCGTGTGCCTGGGAGGTGCTCTGAGACTCCACCAGTGAGGCTTCAGCCACAAATACCTGCGAGGGGAGCAGGCTCAGAGGGTGCAGGGATTGGCCGGCCCCTCTCGGTAAGCAGCAGAGCTGGGGTCGGGCTCCTGATCTGCCAACCCCAGCTCTGTGCTCCTTGCACGTAAGGTGTTTATTGTGACGAATGAAAATAATGACCACCTGCCTGTGTGGAGGCACATTAAGAGCCAGGCGTGGTGCTGAGCATTCATGTGTCATCTCATTGGACCCTCACTGGGTTCTAGGGAGCTGGTGCCCAGAGAGGCGCAGGCACTAGCCTGAAAGCCAGAAGTGCTGGCTCCCAGGTCCTGGGGGGGACCCCAAGCCTGTGCCAGGCTGTCAGCCATGCTGACCGGCTCTCTTAGGAGCACTTTGTACCACTGAGGAGAAGGTCAGTGTCCTATTCCCCTCGACATGAGGCACCCCTCACTGCCTTCAGAGCCCTCGGGGTCCCAAGCCCTGCCCCAGGTCTGGGGTGGCTGGTGCCAGACCCCTCAAAGAGGAAGACAGCACCAAGGCAGGCCCCACAGAGCATACCAGCCATGCCAGAGGGTGATTCCTGCACCTTTCCTCTGGCATAAGTGCAGGCAGGATCCTGACAGCCACATTCAGCCTGGGTTCCCAGCATCAAAAAGGACTTTGTAAAAATCAGAGCTGTAAGATACAGTCTGAGGAGGTGAAGAGCTTGCTGGCCCAGATGTGTGTGAGCAGATGGAAGGAGGTCACTTCTCTGCAGGACGCTGGAGGGACTCAAGGCCGGATTGCCCAATTGCAGGGCACTTCCAGTTGTGCAGGGATTTTCCAATGCCGAGTGTGGTGAGTCCATGACACCCAGGGCCAGTCTGTGAGCAGTCATGGGATGGACCAGCCTCCCCACCGGCAGGATCCTCAGGCATCACTGGCACGCAGACCCTTGTGTTGGCCTCTGGATTAATCAGGACCTTCTCCGCTGCACGTGACAGGGACGCAATCAAACTGGTTTAAACAAAGAGGCATTACCCATTCACGGACCTAAGAAGCTGTTGGGCATCTCTTGGCTGGCTGCCCCAGAACTGGCTGTATCCTCTGCCGGTACCCCGTCTGGGGCAGGAGGACCGCCCACAGTGCAGGGCTCATGGGCCAGCATCATGGCAGCTGCAGGAGGAGGAGAGATGCTCCTTCTCTGTTGGCCCCTGCTGGCTCTCTGAGCCCCTGGCTTGGTCGGCAGGATGCAGAGCTCTGACTGGCCAGGCTGCCAGTACGGTCAGTCTGCAGGGTCAGGGGGCCAGAGCTTGAGGTGGGATGGGAAACCGAGGCCTACTAGGTGCCATGCTGGGAGGTGCTGCACAGTAGTCCACCTCCTTCTTTTCTTCAACTGCTTGAGCAGCTAGAAATGATCAGAGAAGCCCAATGTTGACTCTCCAGATCTGCCCATGAATCACCCAGCATTTGGTTCCAGCAAGTAGGTGACCCTTAAGTGCACAGCCTTATCACTGCCTTCCTAAGAGCCCCGAAAGCTAGGCGCCACCACTGACTGCTCGCAGCCCAAGGATGACAAGTCACTGGTGAGGTCACGGCCAAGTGTGAATCAGCAGCGGACTGGAGAAAAGCCAGCCCTGCCAGGCTGGCAGCACCCAGCAGGGGTGGAGCTGTGGGCTCTCCACAGGACAGGTCTGTCCCACCACCTACTTGGAGCTGGTGGAGCCTGGAATGCAGAGTGGGTCAGGTGTAGATGGTGAAACTGTTGAGCTCAGTGCCTATCGATGCTGGGCCCTTGGGGGGTGGAAGTAAGAGAGGAAATAAGAGAAAGAGCTGTGGCTCAACAGAGCTGGACAGTGGGTTTCAGCAACAGTGATGGGGTGGCGAAGGGAGAGTGAAATTGTAGGGGCTTCTCTGAGCAAAGGAATGCGTTAAAGGCAACACGCTCTCGCTGGGCAACTGGGAGCCAAGTTCCCTGACATCCCCGTGCCCTCATTTGGTATCTGTCAAATGAGGCTTTTGCCTTGGCCCTTCCTTCTGGCATGTTCCCTCTTCCTGGCCCCTGGGTCAGTGCCACCTCCCCGGGGGTGGAGGGGCCTTTCCTGCCTCTTTCAACGAAAGTTCACACTTTCTCCAGGCAGTGGCATCTCGCTTTGGCTCCGCCCATCACTGACCCTTTTCTTACAGCCATATAACCAGCAGTGTTTGTTGAGGACTAAGAGGCATGAATGCATTTAATCTTCACAGTCACTCCGCTGTGTGCACCGTTGCTGTCCCCATTATATAAATGGGGAAGCTGAGGCACAGAGAGGTTAAGTACCTTGCCCTGAGTCATACTGCCCACCTCTCCCCACATCTGTACCACTGCTGGGGTACCTGCGGAAGTCTCCTTGCTGGGCTCCCAGCTCAGACCTGGCCTTGCTCACAAGAGCAGCCTGAGGGAGCCTCTTAACATGCACAGCAGGTCCAGTCACTGCCCTATTCAGAACACACTGGGGCTTCTCATCCTACTCAGGGAAGCTGGACTCCCCTCGGCCTCCACAGTGCTGTGGGGTATGGGCCCCCAGCTGCCCTCCTCACCCCTCCCCTAGGGCCCAACTCTCAGCCTTCCTGGAGCAGCCTCATGGTCCTCAATCCTGCAAAACCATTCCCACCCCAGGGCCTATGCATTTGCTGTTACCTCCACCCGCAATCTCCTCAATCACTTTGGTCACTGCCCAATGTCACCTGGTCAGAAAAGCCTTCTGCTTCACCTTTTGGAGCCCCTCCCCACACCCTCTGGCCATCACTCAGTCCCTTTGCCCTGCAGGCCATGGATTGCAGCCTGCCATTGTGGTGGGCACTCATGGCCGGCCCCGCACACTGCTGTGGTCCACAGTGGCACCCAGCAGAGTAGACACATGGTACTTAATCTATGAAGACCTTGCGTTTCCATGGCCCCTCGTACAGCCTCCTACCTGCAGTGCATTCCACTCTCCCACTCACTCTGAGCTCCTCCAGGGTGGGGGGGCCCGGGTCCTGGAAGCCCTTGATGCTGCCTGATGTTGGCATGTGGACACAGGAGGGAGCAGCTAAAGGCAGAAAGGGGAGAGCAGCCACCTCCCCAGAGAAGCAGGAGCTGGCTAGGCCTGGACCTGGGCACCTGTCAGGGCCTCGAGGGGCCCAGGGTGACGTGGGTGACCTGCAGGAGGGGGCCTGAGTTGGGGAGGCCCAGCCCGGCTCTCCACACATCGTCGCCCGGACCACAGACCCATGAGTGCCCGATGGTCTCATTTTTCAAGAGAAGCCAGAAATCCGGGTTCTGTTTGAGCTCTCCCCATTTCTAAATGTTGGCGACTAACTAAAATTCTTTTCATTAATTCTGTGTGGGCCAAAGAAAGCACAGCTGTGGGCTAGCCATGGTGATCCCTCACTTAGACACTGCGGGTGGGCGAGGTGGGCACAGGGCTGGCATGGAGTGGGCAGTGTGAGTGTGACCTGCTTGGGCTGCGGGGGCAGTGGCCAAGTGGCTGGAGAGGCCTGGGGCATGGGGCGGGGCTTGGTCGGAGACCCCAGAGTCATGGTGAGGAACGGGGTATAACGTGGGAGCCCAGTGGGCATGGGTGAGCAGGGCCACTCTGTTACCAGTTCCATGCCAGGACCCAGCCAGCCGGCAGCCGCTCCCTGCCAAACTCCAAGGGCAATGTTAGGTTGTGTGGTCATCCTGGGTAAAAATAGCAGGGTCACCTTGCAGCAGAAGGACTAGTTTTTATGTGCACGTGGGAGTACAGTATGTGCTACTGTAAGCTAATGCTGCAGTGTTCATGAGGCGTGTGGACACTGGCCCTCACCTCCGTGCCCCCTGGGACAGCAGGACACTGACCTCTGCCTGCTGGCTCAAGGGAAGGGCCGAGCCCCCACTTGTGGGGGTTCCCGCTGACCCCACCTGGCATGGCAACTGGGTGTACCCCAGGGGCCACATAGCTCCTGCAGCCCATCTGAGGCTCTGGGTTTGACAGAGGAGGTCACCTGCCCTTCGAGGATCACATACCACCCTGTCTCCTTTGACCAGCACTTCCCTGTGAGGTCAGCCAAACCTGCATCATGCAACCAGCCTGGCAGCGGGCAGAGGGCCACAGGGAGGAAGGGGCTTGCCTGGGCTCACCGCCAAGCTCCTGAGGATCCTCCTGCCGCCACAGCCCACCTGGGCCTGCAGCTTCCAGTGCAGGAGCCCTGCTGGGCCAGTCAGCCCTTCCCAAAGCCATCCATGGCTGCCCAGACTGGTCAGCTGTCATAGCTTCGTTTCCCGCCCTGTAAATTGGGGCTACCACTAAGAACCTTTTGCACATACGCACATGCATACTCATTCAGCATCCCAGCCACCTGACTGTTACCTCGGTAACTCCTTCAGCAGGGTGGTGGAGGCCCCTGGCAAGGTCACACCGTCTGGCTCCTAAACAGGATGGTAACGTGCACCAACCCCAGGGAGTGGTGTGAGCAGTAAGCAGGTAGCATGTGTAGGGTGCTCAGTGATGGCACATAGTAAGGGTTCAGTAGGTGTTAGAGATGGTTTACTCTCCGTGGGGGGCAGCTTCTGCGCAAAGGGGAGCACGGAGCTGGGCCGGGTAGGGGACAGGTCTGTGGGCATGCCAGACTTTGGGGTGAAAGCAGTGGCAGTTGGTTCCTGCTCCAGCACCCATGGGCCATGGTCCTGGGGCGGGCCTTGTCCCAGCACGATCTTGGTGCCAGACCTGGGCTGCCCTAGGTTTCCCTGTGTCACAGGCTTGGGGTGGGACAGAAAGGGCACCCCAAGTGCCTGCGGAGGAGGGGGCCAACCCAGAAGGGGCCAAGCAGCCAGGACTGAGCCTGTCTCTTTCCCCCCTGCCCCCAGGAAGCCTGAGAAGGGCATCCAGTACCTCATTGAGCGTGGCTTTGTGCCCGACACGCCAGTGGGGGTAGCCCACTTCCTGCTGCAGCGCAAGGGCCTCAGCCGGCAGATGATTGGCGAGTTCCTGGGCAACCGGCAGAAGCAGTTCAACCGCGATGTTCTGGAGTGAGTCTGGGGCTGAGGCGGGTGGGGGCCTCCGTGAGCCTCGTGCCCACAGTGTCAGGCTCTCCTGCTGGTTGGGACAGACACTGAATCCTCCTCTTTTCTTTTCCTTGATCCTGAACACATACACAGACGCCCCACGCTGTTCTGCATGTCACACCCTGCCGGGCACATGTGAGCACCTGCCCATGGATGCTGTGTTTCACACACTGACCCTGCATGTGCCCTTAGCACCCCCATCCCTCCAGCAGAGCAGAGACGCCCAGCACTGGAGGGTTGGTGGTCTGGACCCCTTCCTTTGGCCTGGCTGCCCTCCACCCTGACACACCGCGGGAGGGTACCAGGCCCAGAGGGACCCCAGCTCTGCCCCTGCCTGCTTCTCCTGGCCAGCAGATCTGGGGTGAGAGTCCCCCCTGGCTAGTGGCCACAGCACTCTGAGCTGCTTGCAGTCTTGCAGATAAATGGGTCTCCAGCTCATTGGGAACTACCAGCCATTTTGAGAAGTCCTGCTCAGGAGGCACCCTAAAACTGTCCCCTGAGACTGTCCTGAGCCCAAAGGGGCCATGTTTAGACTCCCGTGTGCAGAGCAATGTCTGCAGAGAGGCCCTATGCCCTCACCGCGGTATGGGCGTCAGGGGTCACTGACCCCTCACAGATGAGGAGCCCAAGCTGGTGGAGCAGGCAAGCTCTGGCTGGGTGTCCTGCCCACCCTTTGCTGGGGCCTGGGGGAGCATCTCCAGGTCTGCTGTTGAGGACATTTCCAGCCCAGGCCACTGCAGGCTGCAATGCTGACCCCTGGCCAGTCAGATCAGAAATCAGAGCCGGGTAGACAGTGAGCCATCAGTAACAGTGGTGGTGCTTTCCCTCTGTCCAGCCTGGCCTCGCCAGGTGACAGAACAGCCAGGGTCTTCCTGGTCAGGCCAGTTCTACAATGAGGAAGGGCCTGGCCACGAGGGCACCCACCTCTGGCGCCTCCCTGGGAGGAAGCAGGCAGGTGCTGTGGCCTCTGTTTCACAGGTGAGGAGACCCAAGCTCGAGGGAAGGGGCTGGCCTGGACACCAACCCCCCCAGACTCACATACACACATGCATACGCATTCAGGCGCACTCCACACCCGTGTGTACACACACATACACACACAGACACGCGCACAGGAGACACGGTGAGCCAGGGCTCTTGCTGGTGGCTGGTGTGTGGCTGGCACCCAGTAGAACGGCATCTGTGCCCTTCCTTGGCCAGCAGGCCCCCTGGGCTGCTCTCGGTCTGAGCCACCTCTGTTCCGGTGTCAGGAACAGCCTGCTGTCCCCATCCATGTGGTTAGTGCCCCCCTCCGCCTGTTAAACCATGTGAGGAAGCAGTCCAGGGGGAAGCAGATCAGCTCCTTGTAAAGCAGGGAAGGCCTTCTCCATCTAGTGCCCCATCCCTGCAGCCATTCCTGTGTTCCCCCACATCCCCTCCCTGCTGCCTCCTGGCCTGTAGGAAATCCGTGCATTGTTCTCCTCCCATTAGAAAATAGCCTCGGCCTCAGGAAGTAGCAAGACTCCCCTCCCACCCCCAGCCCCCACCCCCCAGCCCAGTCAGCAGATCATCATGTGCAGCCCCTGCTCCCTGCCTGGTCTGCAGCAACCTCAAAGGCTGCTGCCCCAAGAGGCCCTGAGCACTCAGAGAAGGATGGGGGCACCAGAGCTCATGCCCAAGCCCCTCATCACAGCAGAGGGGAGATTGGGCCCCCATGGCTGAGGCCTGTGCAGCCCCACTGGGAGTGACCGTGGCTTCATTATAAGCATACCACCTGTGACACCATCCACCCAAGCCTGCTGTGTGGATGCCCAGTGCACACCCCGCCTTTTCTGTTCAGGGGTCCTAAGCAGGATTGGAACAGGCTGTGCTGGGGGGTTAGGGCTAGGATAAGAGTGGAACCAACCCAGAACCATTTGCCAGCCGTCCTTGCAAGCTCCGCCTTCCACCTGTGGGTTGACAGGTAAAGATGGCACAGCCCCTGCCAAGTGCCTCAGAAAAGACCCGGGAGAACCCAGCTGCCTCTCCTTTACCCTCAAAGTGAGGGTACATGTTCGTGCCTCCTCTGCTCCCTCACCTAACACAGGAAGACTTGGGCAGTGCTGTTTTCTACATGCCCAATGTAACATACATGCTTAGAAAAGTGTGTTTCTGCACCAAGGCCCCTAATCAAGAATAGCCATGTGTTGGGTCCCCCATAGAAAATTACACACATAGCTGTAAGAACCAACGCTGTTCTGTGGTGTCAGGGTGTTCACAGACTCCTGGAAGCATGGGGTCCTTTCAGCTGTAACCTCTGGTGTTTGCTGATTAGAGGAAGCCAAGTGGAGGACCCTCCCGGCCGTGAGGCAGCCCCTGCCCATGGCTCTGGGCAGCTTGCAGGCCCCTCCCTGTGCTGAGGACCTCTGTGCTCCACCCTCTGCAAGCACACACTCACTTCGCCTGACAAGAAGGCCAGCGAGGCTGCAGAGGCAGAGGACCTGACGTGGCCCTGTTCTCCCATTTCAGCTGTGTGGTGGACGAGATGGACTTCTCTGCTATGGAGCTGGATGAAGCCCTCAGGAAGTTCCAGGCACACATCCGGGTCCAGGGAGAGGCTCAGAAGGTGGAGCGGCTCATCGAGGCATTCAGGTTGGGGCCAGGGCAGTGTGGGAGCAGGTATAGGAGAGAGGAGGGTTCCAGGTTCAAAAGCTGGTGGGTAAAGGGCCAAATCCCCCTTCACTCCCTTCCCCTAAGCAGACTCAGGGGACCTAAACTCACCTGGGGGATGAGGCAGGAGCCCCTTCTGTGTGCCAGGTGCTGTGTACATTGGTGCCAGAGCCAGGCAGTTAAGCCGTCTTTGTCTTCCTCCAAGTCCCCATGAGCCTCATGCATTCATGAGTCCATCTGTGTGGTCACCCATCTGCCCGTTCACAAGGGGGCCCGCTGCCTCTCAGTGACTCAGAGCACAAGCTGCAGAGCTAGATGGCCTGTTCTGACACCCACTGAACCACTTACCGGCTGTGTAACCTTGCACTGGTCACTTCACCTCTCTGTGCCTCACATCCTTGCCTATAGAGTGGGGATGATGAGGGATTAAGCTGCTTCGGACTTGTGTGCACACTAGCCAAGCACCTGGCACAACAGAGCCCACAGTCAAGGTTGTCTGTCACTGTGCAGGCTTTCCTCTGGGGACTGTGTGCACACTGGCCTGCTAGGGACCTCTGCTCCATGTTGGGTGTGGAGACACGAGCCAGCTACTCACCCAGCCTTCTGTGCCTAGCACCAGTGGTGGGGTGAGGACACAGAGGAGGACAACCCCAAGGCCCTGGGAGAGGGGTGTATTCAGCCCCTTCCTTCCAGGAGGGCTTCCTGGAGGGGGCAGCCCTAAGGAAAAGACACAAAGCCCATGTCCTCTGAGCTCTGCCGGCTGCCCCCTTAGTCACTGTGCCTCACCTGGTTCCTCTACTCTATCCCTGTCCTTTTCACCCACCCCCTCCATGCGGTCACCAGTGGAGAGGGCAAGGGGCATGAGACACAGTGAGCTCAGTAAGCAGATGACTCAGGGAGGCAGAGTGCGCTAGTGAGCCTGTTGGTTCAGCTGCGCTAACAAAGGCCCCCAGCTGCCACTGCTGAGCCGTGCTGGAAGTGTACCTCCCCCTGGGCTGGAGCTGAGGGGGCCCAGGGCAGGTCCAGCCCGCACCATCACATCCCAGGCCCAGCAGAGGAAGAGAGTGGAGGCCACACCACTGCCTTGTAGGACCCACATCCCATCCGCTCTCATCCCATTGACCAGAACTTAGTCATGCTCTGGCTTGCACCTAGCCCTGAGAAAGGCTAGGGAAGTGGTCCTCACCCCACCCAGCCCTGGCAGCTTAACTATGGAGGACGGGCTGTAGCTAACTTGGAAGGGGCAAGTGGTGGCCAGGGCCACCACTATGCCAGGCAAGGCTTATCCCCATTCACCAGAGGCAGGAATTGAGACTGTTCCTGGGAGGGGGCACCACAGCGCCTCGTGCCCTGCCTGGAGCGGCCCTAACCCTCCTCCTTGGCCCCGCCCCCAGCCAGCGGTACTGCATCTGCAACCCTGGGGTGGTGCGGCAGTTCCGGAACCCGGACACCATCTTCATCCTGGCCTTTGCCATCATCCTGCTCAACACGGACATGTACAGCCCCAGCGTGAAGCCCGAGCGCAAGATGAAGCTGGAAGACTTCGTCAGGAACCTGCGAGGTGAGCTGTCCCATGCTGTGGGCGCCAGCGGGCGACGCAGGGCAGGCTCGGGATCTGGGCTCCAGTGCACAGCGGGGCCTGGGTGAGCGCCAGTTCCACTGGCAAGCGAACACGACACAGGTTACTTAAAGATCACTGAGGACTCTTGGGGCACACAGTGGGGTCGCACCTCCCTCTGGGCTGGAGCAGAGGGGGCCTGGGTTTGTATCATCACAGTAAACAGGAAACCACTAACATTTGCCACGCTTAGGAGCCCCAGATCCAACTCGGGGTTGGAAGCGTCTTAGCGCGCCCCCTGGTGGTGAGCGTCTCCGAACCAGGATGGCTAATGGAATCCCCGGGTGTTTGTCCAGCGAGCAGGGCCACAGGGAGATGGCAGGACTGCCTGGGCTCCCATCCCGGCCCCCGGCCCCAGCTTCACCTCAAGACCTGAGCAGGATGGAGCCAGCAGGCAGACATGTGGTTCAGAGCACCACTCCCTGCGCCGAAGACACGCCGCATGGGGCCCTTTGCTACGTCTGGGGGGCGTGGCAGGCCCCAAGGAAGGCCAGGACATAGGTGTAGTTTCTAGGAAACAGAGGAGTCTGGGGCCCTCATTACTGGAAAATCACACCGCCAGGAGAGCGAGCAAGGGTGCTCAGTAGACATGTCAATGGTGCGAGGCATGTGTGCCCCTTGCCTCCTCTCTGCTGGCCCCGGGCCTCTCTGACCATGAGCCTACGTCCTTGCTGAGCTGAGCCTGATTCTGCTCTTCTGAGTCTCATGGGGTGTAGATGCAGGCCAGCGCTCCACGGCTGCCGGGAAGGCTGGCTGTGCATTGCATGCTGTTGGTGACCCCAAGAAGTTTAAGGGTCTCTGATTTTTTTCACACCTTTTGCATCTCATCCATGTAGTCTGGGACTCCCCTGTATGAGAAATAACAGTAGGAGCTAGAAATCAATTAGCCCAGAGGAGAGAAGGCTCAGGGAAGCCCAGGGCTGCTGAGTCAGATACTGCCGGTCGGCCACCCTCGTGTTGGTGGCTTTGTGGTTTGCATTCACTCTTGCCACCTGGCCATCCCAGCAGTCTGGGGACAGGGCGGCATTCCCCTCCCACTTCCCAGGGGAGTGAGCTGCTTGGTCTGTCTCCCAAGCCTGGCTGTTTCTGCCACATCACCTGCTTTCCCATTTACACCAGGAACTTGGGAGTGTTCTGTCCCATCTTCCTGGTGTTTCAGAAGAGGTAACCAAGGCTCAGAGAGGAAAGGGACTTGCCCAAGGTCACACAGCAAGCCAGTGTCAGACAAGGCAGGACTCTGGCCTCCCAAAGCCAGGCTGGTGCTCTGTGCTGGCCACATGTCAAGCTTGTTCTTTCCATTACACACACACACAGACACACAGATACACACACAGAGACACACTGTCTCTCTCTCTCTCTCTCTCTCTCTCTCTCACTTTCTCTGGTACTGCCTGCTTCAGTTTAGCCAGCAAGTCCAGCAGCAGGAGAGCCTCTGGGGTTTAGAGAATAGGTGGGGCAGGAATAAGCTCATGGCATGGAGGCCAGACAAGCAATACTTTCCTCTTACTGATGTTTGTTTTTAAATGTTCTAAGCTTATTTTTTGAAGGGGCAATATACCTCCACATAGTTCAAACCCCAGAAAGTGATACAAATTAACAGTCATGCTCCTCAGTATTTACCTGAGTTAAAAATTCATGTCCTCACAAAAAACCTGCACACAGATGTGTACAGCAGCCTTACTTATAATTGCCAAGACTCAGAAGCAACCGTGACGTCCATTGACAGGGGAATGGGTACATCATCGGGGCTACCTCCAGACAATGGAATCCTATCAGCATGGAAAAGAAAATGAGCTAACCAAGCCTTGGAAGAGCTACCAAGTCTTCTAAAAGATTCATTTTAGAAGCATATGACTTAAGTGAAGGAAGCCACTCTGGAAAGGCTACCTGCTGTGTGATGCCAACCACATGATGTCCTGGAAGAGGCAAAACTATGGCAACAGGGAAAAGATCAGTTGTTGCCAGGGGTTGGGGGACAGGAGAGGTGAATAGGTGGAGCAACCATTTAGGCAGTGGAAGTATTTCGTGTGCTACCACAGTGATGAGTAGATGTCCGTATACGTCTGTCATCAGGTGCACCCACCAAGTATGAGCCCTCATGTAAACACTTCTTTGGGCACTTGTAATGTGTCAGTGTAGGGCCAGTGATCATAACATGCCCCATGCTGCTGGAGGGGCGGGGGGCATGGAGTGTAAAGGAAATGTCTGTGCTTTCCCCTCGATTTTGCTGTGAACGTAGAAGTACTCTTAAAAAAACAGCTCTAAAAAATAAAGTTTTTTTTAAAGCCTGGGAAGTATAACAGGTCTACAGGATAGCACTCCCACACCTGCTGGTCTGCCAGCCCACAGCCTGTCCTAAATCATTCAGTCCTGGTGTATTGCCCAGAGCCTCTATGCCCAAGCAAGCACAGACATGTGTGGTTGTCTTGCCCTCTTGTGTTGCACACGTTGATTGTTTCATGTACTAAAACCTAAGATAAAGTTTCCATGGGGGTTCTCTGTGGCCTTCTGCATTGTTCCTGGCAGGTGTCTAGTATTCCATTGTGCTGATGCATGGTGATAGGTAACCAGTCCCGTTAATGGGTAAAACTATTACTTCTGGTCCTCTGCCATTTGGAAACAGTGCTGCATTGAATAACCTTGTATGTGTTTTCATTTCCCATGGGATACATTCCCCATATGTGGCCAGTGGACCAGAGGGTGTTGGAGTTTATAACTGTGACAGCCAGTGCCAAGTTGCTCAGCAGAGGGGCTGAGCCCTTTCCCCATCCCACAGCAGCCTGCGGGAGGTGCCTTCCCTGCAGCCTGGCCCACAGCACAGCAGCAGGGCCCTGGACTTCTGCCAGCGTGGGGTCAGGATGGACACCAGTTTGCATTTCCCTCATGCACGGGGCTGTGTTTCCTCTCTCACAGCCGTTTTTCAGGCTGGTGTAGCAGGAAGAACACCTGTTTGCTGTCTAAGGCGACCCAGTCTGAGTCCCAGCCCCCAGCTTCTGCCGACAGGACAGGGGAACACAGCTAGCAACACTGCAGACCCTGAGCGCTCGCTTTTTGGGCTGAATGATGAGCTGCTCGTGCTCCCTGACAGTCCTGTGAGTTCACCCAGCTCTTGGTGGCCCGCTTCACAGAGGACTGCCAGCTCAGAGGCGCAGTTACACGGCCAGTAAGGGGCGGAGCCTAAACTCTCAAATCCCAGCTACACGGGTGCCTACAAACCCAGTCCCTTACCATCTGTGGAATGGGGCCACCTCCCACCCTGAGGGCTGTGGTCAGGTTCAGCAAGTAATCTTTATAAAGCCCCCTGAGCACAGCTGGGAGGTGGCACAGCCCCCCATATGCTAATCCCGGTGGCTGTGTGGGCCTTGTCCCTGGCAGAAGGATGCTGAGTCACTGTGTAATTGACTGAAGATGGTCAGCTGTAGGCGGGGAAGGCCTTTGGTTCTCTTGGGCCTGGTGATAGGAGTCGCTATTCTGATTTGTTCTGGAAACTGGTAAATCTGGGGGTGAGCCCAGGGCCCGAGGCTGCATGGAGCCACAGCTACCCAGGCCGCTGTCTCCTGCCCAGGGGTGGACGATGGCGAGGACATTCCCCGGGAGATGCTGATAGGAATCTATGAGCGGATACGCAAGCGGGAGCTGAAGACCAACGAGGACCACGTGTCCCAGGTGCAGAAGGTGGAGAAGCTCATCGTGGGGAAGAAGCCGGTATGTGGTGGCCCCGCCTGGCCAGAGTCCCTGATGGGGAGGCCTGAGGCACACCCCTGCCCACACTCTCCGTGTGCCCCAAGGCCTGCCCCACTGGCTTCAGCCATTTGGAAGCTGGCCCCTTACAGGCAGGGCTGGTGAATTATTTCAGATTTTGGGTGGCTTCCGATCTCTGGGGATGACAACCCTCTGCTCTGGTTGTGTTTCAAGAGCGCCTAAGGCTCTTAAGAAACCAGCAGCTGGGGTGGTGCAGTGGCTCCTCGGTGACCTGGAAATGCCCTCATGGCCTCCTCAGCGCTCGGCACAGAGAGGGTCTTCCCTGCTGAGCTCCGTGTGGCATGGGTACTAAGGAAAGGTGCCCCGGGAGGGCTGCTGGCTTTGTCCCATGACCACCCTCCGCCCAAGGTGTCTTCTAGAGTGTTAACATCAGGTTTTGTCTCTTTGATGTTTCCCACATAGATCGGATCCCTGCATCCTGGGCTTGGCTGTGTGAGTAACCTCTGCTTTCATTCCGGCTGAAATCCCAGTGCCGGGCACTGTGTCTGTCATTCACACCACTGCATCTCCTGGCTCCTGGACCCACAATTCCGGCAGCTTGAGCTAATTTCCTGGGCAATAAGAAGTTTGATTTTCATAATTATCCCAGCCTGGAATCTCTGCAGGCCCAGAGATGTCAGCCGCATGGGAAAGGCTGTGCTGTGGAGCTGAAGCAGAGTGTCCTTCCCTAGCCTGGGCCCTGGTGAGCCCCAAGACAAGGCTTGTCCCCAGACCCCGAGACACTGTGCCTGAAACATGAGCCTGGTGTGGCCTTGAGAGCTTCTCCTTCCCCAGCAGGCCTACTCCACCCTGCAACTTGCTTCTGTTTGCCACAACCCACTCCACTGCCACAGCCCTGAGCTAGTTTGCCTGCACACTTCCGGAGCACATGGACAACATGGCTAGGCTGGCAGTCCCATGGCATGGCCCTGTGTGCCTGCCTCTACACCGTCCCCAGGCAGCCCCACCACTGCCAGTCTGCTCCACAGGTCCCTCTGAGGGCCTTGCCTCCCCACCTCCCCACACACCAGCTGGGCCGTACCTTTCCCTCCTCTCACCGTCCTAGTGCTTAGCCTGGCATGCTTCCACCAGGGTGCCCCTTGTAGAATTAACCCCCGCTGCCTGCAGTCATACTTACCCAGGCACATCCTGTCTTTACTAACTTGTGCCTCACAGCTGGGCCTCCCTGATGGCTTGTCACCACAGCCCTTAGACACCAGCCGGGCGCATCCAGCCTTGAGGGTGGCTTGGGCTTCGGTGAGATGGGAGGCTCTTGTGAACATTCCCCATGCAGGCCTGTTCAGAGGCAGCTGTGCAGAGCAGAGGCCCAGGCCAGATCCCACCAAGTGGCGACTGCTGGCTCAGGATTTGGGGCAGGGTCCTTCAGGCATCAAAACCTTTGATATCCTTGAGGAGGGGGCCTGGGCAGGTGGGGACCCCCCGGGCCTGGAATCAGCTCCTGGCTCTGCTACTACCCAATTGTGTGGCTGAGACAGGCTGCTCAACCTCTGTGCCTGCCTCATCTGGGGCAGACTCTTAGGGAGAGCGTGCAAGGGCTGGTGGGCATACACACATGGTAGGTGCTTTGTGGAGACCCGGAAATCATGAATTCCTCTCAGGCTGGGGGCTCACTTGTGAGTGTGATGCTCCAAAAAGCCGGGTACCTGCCTGAAAGGAAAGGTGGTCTCCCCAGAAGCAAGGGCACTCACATGTCCTTCAGGAGAGCTCCTGAGCACAGGGCAGCCTAAATTGCTATGAGCCTAAACGCACATTCAGCCCTGCATGTTCTGTGGGAGGAGGCGCGTTCCAATGCCAGGCCTTCGGGCTGGGTTCCCACGCTGTCCAGGCCCCAGGGGAAGGCAGGCGGCTGACAGCAGCATGTCCCTCCCACCACAGGTGCTCTCCCTGCCCCACCGGCGGCTGGTCTGCTACTGCCGGCTCTTCGAGGTTCCAGACCCAAATAAGCCCCAGAAACTTGGACTGCACCAGCGAGAAATCTTCCTGTTCAACGACCTTCTGGTGGTATGTGGTTGCCCACGGGGTGTTGTCCTGAGAGCCGTGGTGCATGGTGGCCCTGAGCTGGCTGGTGTCTGCACATGAGGAAGTGCACACATGTGTGGGAGTGGAGGTGGTAGAGGTGGAGTTGGCCCAGGATCATTGGCTCACAAAGGGCAGAATCTAATCACACCACTGCTGATGGTAACCATGCCCGAGAAGCTCTTGCCTGCAAAACGGGGCTTTGCCGGCTTGTGTAAAAGCCCAGCGCGGGATCTGTTCCCAAAGCTACATGCCTGAAAAGCTCTGTTTACGATCTCTCAGCTGTGTGTCTCCTTAGGCAGCCTCTGTCTGAGAGGGGAATGCCAGCCTCGGTGTCTCCAGGCTTCCTCTGTCCACTTGGCCACCAGCAGGGCTCTTCCTGAGATGCTGAGCCAGGGGCCAGCCAGGCTGGGCGGTACTGTCTCACTGGCTAACCTGGCTACAGCCCACCACCGGGAATAATGGGCTGATGGTGGCAGGGGGGTCCCCCAAAGAGAAAGTGAGGCGCTCCTTCCCGAGAAAATGTGGCTCAGATAGCACCTGTCCTTTGGATCTCTGTTCCTCCTGTGTGCCACGGGCTTTCTCGCCAGAGGCCTTTGTCCCTGACCCCCACCTGCTTGAGGATCAGCTGCTGCTCTCTGATTACTGAAGTTGGAATCCAGACGTGTGGGTTCAAATTCTTTAAGAGTCTCTGACCTCACACAAGTCAGTTCAGATCTCTGAGCCTTAGTTCACGCCTCTGAAATTAACATTTCGGGAGGTTATCATCACCCGATACGGTCCTGGACATAAGAACCTCTCATGGTGCCTTCAGGCCATGTGTGATGTGCCTGTCACCACCCGGCTGGGTCCGGGGGCTTTGTTGCCAGCCAAGATGGCATTGGGGACTCTCAAGAGCAGGGACCAGTGTCCACATCATGGCACATGTGGGCATGGACCCTCCTGTGTCAGCCCTCTGTGGCCCTGGGGCCTGACCCCTGGACTGCAGAGATGGTTCTCACACACAATGACTGCCGGGTTCATTCAGAATCCCAAGCTCCCAGAGCTGTTCCAGGGCAGTGCAGACGGTGGGGCTCAGCCTCCGCCTCTCTCGGCCCCCAGGTCACCAAGATCTTCCAGAAAAAGAAGAACTCGGTGACGTACAGCTTCCGACAGTCCTTCTCCCTGTATGGCATGCAGGTCCTGCTCTTCGAGAACCAGTGTAAGTCTGTCGTGAGGGCCGCCTGGCCGGGCAGCGTGCGTGGCCACATTGGTGGGGTGGGAGGTGCCATCACACAGCCCCTGCAGGGAGAAGGTGCTCTTTTCCCACTTCTCTCCCCTTCCCCTGGTTCCATCGAGGACAGAGTCCCAGGGTGGCTTCTCCCAGGCAGAGAGCAGATTGCAGGCTGGGAGTGTGAGAAGCAGCAGTGAGGAGGAAGAATTTAATAATGTTGTGCATCAAACTCAGAGCTCACTGATGTCACTGTGACTTCTTGCAGGTGCTACGTTTTTAGCTGAGGGCAGAGTGAGTTTGTTTTAAGTAAAATGTTGAAGTGAAGCATCAAGTCAGTGGCACAGGTGATCTGCAAACATGGGCAAACAAACAGGAGGGTAATGCCGGGGGACTGTAAGGTCAGTAGCTGAGCCCCAGAGCCTGAGGACCTGGGTTCAAATCAAATCCCTCTCTGGTTCCATGGCTCAGTGGCTGCACCCTCCAGGCTGCATTCCCTTTGTCTATAAAATGGGGTGATGGCAGCACCTCTCTCAGGATGGAGTGAGTCCATACAAACATTTGGAGCAGCTCTGGCCCAGAGGAGGTGCTCAAGCAGGTGCTGTTAGAAAGATGCTGCTGGAGATGAATGGGTCAGAGGCTCTGGGGCTCTGGAGGGGAGCTGGCTCCTACCCAGGAAAACCCCACAGACGGTTTCTTTTGACCTTGCCCCTTCTGACTACCATGCCCTCTTTTCCTCTCTCCCTCTTTGTCGCCTCCCTGTTGGAGGCCCTGAGCTGCAGGCTGAGGTGGTCCTGAGATTTAGGGGGAGGGCCCGAGGGGAGACCTGCCCTGGTGGAGTGGCCCCATGTCTCCAGCTGTGGGGTAGCCACAGTCCTGACTGGTGGGCCTTCCATCTGCATGTTGAAAAAGTGCCAGGGCCCCGTGGCTGAGCCATCCAGACCCACAGGGCCTGAGGGCTTGGATTTGGGGCTCTTTACCCCTTTTCTGTCCTGCGTGGGCTGTGCCCTGTCCTTTTTCGCACCCACAAGGAGCCCGGAGTGCTAGCCCCACCACCTCCCCAGCCCCTGCCCTATCTGCCCCACCCCAGGCCAGAAGGCCTGCCTTCCCGTGGTTTCCACAGGCAACTCCCAGAAGGTCAGTGCCACCCACACTGTCCTGGCCAGCAGGCCTCCTCGCAGAAGGGGTGGCAGTGATGATGTTGCCCTAGCAGCAGGCCCGACCAGACTGGATTCTCGGGCAGAGGCTGCTACCAGGCACTTTTAGATTCCCAGGCCTTGGCCCTGAGTCCTGGACACCAGGTGCCAGCCCTGACGTTTCTATAGGATGTGCCCTCACACCAGGCTCAAACCAACAGTCTGGGGGTCAGTCCCAACTCTGTTATATTTGATTTGCATATTTCAAAAAAAATTGGTTGAGCTGGTATTTAAGTCTTCACATTAAAATTTAGGTATTTTTGGCTACTCTTAAAAAATGAGGCTTGGAATAATAAGGGAGAAATGTGGGATTCACATATAAATCAAGTATAAAAATCAAACAAATAATCATATTTGACTTGATTGTTTATAGTTCATAATGCGTGATCAAAACCGAAAGTTTCTGTGATGACTGCCCTTGCACTGTTCACCATGTAAGAACTTATTCACTATGTAAGAACTTATTCACTATGTAACAACTTGTTCACCATGTAAGAACTTGTTTGTTATGCTTCAGAAGATTGGAGACTGTTGAGAATTAGGCTTGGGGTTAATTAATGATTGTGCATTGAGTCCCCTATACAGAATTTTATTGTTGTTAACAACCATTTGATCAATAAATATGAGAGATGCCTCTCAAAAAAAAAAATGAGAAAAAAAAAGATCATGGAAATTATGTATCCAAAAGAGAATCTTTTATAGTAAAGAGTCTAGCAGTTCTAAAAATAAATAAAAAATAAAAAAATGAGGCTTGGCATCGCTAGGCCTTCATTCCTGTGTGGAGGCCATGAGGCTCACAATCTCACCTGGCCTGCCTCCCACATTTAGGAAACCTGCTCAGACCGCTAGGTGTTTGACCTAGGTCTAAGCCATGGTGGAATCCGTACTGGGGCCAAGAACCTTGAAACACCCAGTGGGTGATGCTCAAGGACAGGTGCTGCCAGGACACCAAAGCCCCAGAGACCCCACAGCTCGGAAGGAGCACCAGGCAGGTCTGAGCAAGGTGCTGCACTCAGCATACAAGGCACAGGGTGTGGGGCACCTGCAGTGCACCCCAGGAGAGCTGAGGGTCCAGAGGCCTTCGGGAGAGCGCAGAGCTCGGTCTGCTCAGGATTGCCCAGGGCAACCAGGTAAGACTCTGCCCAGCACAGGATGCTGCCTCTGTCCCTTCCTGGACTCAGCTCCTGGCCAGAGTGACCAGGGGCCTCAAATTGAGGGGTCCAGGCTCCATGACCTTCAGGACATCCCTAACTTTACCTCCAGTCAGCCACATCTGCCCCTGATGTATGGATGGAGCAACACAGACCAGAGTCAGAAACTGGAGATAGGTGACCCCTTGGTCCCCTCCGGGATGCCTTTCCTGCCCAGTTAGGCATGTCGGCTGAGAGCCTGGGCTCAGTACTTGTCTCATGCCCATCCTGGATTTAGACTTACTAGTGTTTCCTTGAGCCAGAGGGGGACTGCTGAGTGCACACTGAGCCCCCTGGGTTCTCCGCTCCTCCTCTGCAGACTATCCCAACGGCATCCGGCTCACGTCGGCAGTCCCTGGAGCAGACATCAAAGTGTTAATAAACTTTAATGCTCCCAATCCTCAAGACCGGAAGAAGTTCACTGACGACCTGCGGGAGTCCATTGCAGAAGTGCAGGAGATGGAGAAGCACAGGATAGAGTGTAAGCTTCAGGCCTCCTGGGGATGAAGGGCCAGCAAGCCTGGCATTGCTCAACACTTGCTGGCACAGGCATGCCTCCCACTCTGGGGCAGTGACTGCGGTCAGAGGCCGGTAGTGCTGGTAACTCCATGAGCCCAGAGATGAGATGCCCACAGTGTCTCCTGGCCTCCCAAAGCCCCACAACAGGGCAGCCGACGTGCCCAGGCACAGAGGGAGGGGGGAGGGCAGAGGTCCCTTGATGAGATCCAGGGCTTCAGAGGCCCAGGCCCATCATGCCTGTGGGACTACCTCGCAGGCCCTGGGGAGCAGCCCTGGTCCCATCAGCCCCCGACACAGGGGCTCCCAGAGTTCCAGAGCTGAGCCCTCTGCACGTCAGCATAATTATTATTTATTTGTCCCCAGCATCAGGGCCCAACTGACTGATGGGGTCGCAACTGGGCCTGTCTTCTTGGTTCCAGTAAAGCCAATTATAACCCTGCCTCTCCCGGCTCCAAGCCCTACTTCCTGCAGATGTGTGGGTATCCACACCTCTGGTCCCATCCACAGCAAGAACCAGGTTAACCCTTGCTCCTGTCCACACCCAGGCACGTTTTCTCCCTGTCTACCCTCCAGCCTGGAAAGTGCCTTTTGCAGACCACAGGCCCTCTGGCCTCTCCAGCCTCCCTCCCTGGGTCTCCTTTTGGCTGCTTTTTTGTTCAAGGCAGCCTTCTCTCCTGAGACCACCCTCACTCCTTCCTCCATCGCCATTCCAGGCAGGTGGTGGTTCCATACATTGCCAGCCCCAAGCAGAGGGCCGTGGTCCTCTGCATGTCCCTCCTGTGGGAGGGTGCCCCAGCCCTTTGTCCACCCCAGGATGCCCTCTCACTGCGCTCCTTGCCCTCCATTCCAGCGGAGCTCGAGAAGCAGAAGGGCGTTGTGCGGCCCAGCATGTCTCAGTGCTCCAGCCTCAAAAAGGAGTCTGGCAACGGGACACTGAGCCGGGCCTGCCTGGATGACAGCTACGCCAGCGGGGAGGGCCTCAAGCGTGGCGCCCTGAGCAGCTCCCTGAGGGACCTCTCAGAAGCGGGTAAGAGCTGGACCCAGGACCACCTTCCTAGCCCAATGCATGCAGGACAGACCGGGCATGTCGTCAGCAGTTGGGGCATGCATTGCGTGCTGGGAAGGGACCGCAGTGGCGGCCAGCAGTGGCAGGGCTCAGACAGAGCACTGTTGGGTTTCCTGTGACTGTCCCAAAACCATAGTGTCTGACTATACAGAGAGGGCATCCCAAAGAGGCCATAGAAAACAGTACTGAATTGTGAAAGGCAGAGCAATGGGAGGTTAACCCTATTCTACCTTTCTTCATCGGGGATTTATTTGGTCTTTCACTGAGCTTCTGGAAACTGCTGTCCCGCAGAGTGAGCCAAGCCCCACTGACAGGTGTGTCCCCGGTGCTCTGTGCTGCCGCATCCCTGTGTTTTATGCTGATGAATGCAATGAAGTGATGCCCTCTGAACTGTGTCTAGAGACCCCCCTCTCCCGCTGACCCTGGTCTCGCTTCCCCTCCAGGGTCTCCCTCCTGGGAACCCAGGGCTCTGTCCACCTGGAGGTGGGGGCCGTGGCCGACTCTGGGGTGTTGCAGCGCCTTGGAGGAACTGTGATCTTTGTTGTTATTGTTTCTCTGTTTCTTCCTGCGTTTATTTTCTGCCAGCCTCTTAACCCCCAAGCAAGCAGCACCCCTCAAGCCTCCCAGGTCTCCTGGGGCTCCTAGAGCCCCAGGGAGCAGGGAGCTTTAGGCAGCCCTCACATGGCCTGGTCCTCTTGGCTAGGACAGGTGTGAGGCAGACCTGGCTGTGGCTGCGGAGGGCTGCTCCAGCCTGCTTTGCCTACCAGTGCTGTCAGAGGAGCCGTGGAGTGTTGGGGTGTGTCTCAGCAGGTCCCCAGCAGTCCAGCCAGGCAGCTTTTCCTGGGAGAAGGCTCAGGGGCTGTGGCGGAGCAGAGGTTGCCAGCATGCTTTACAGCGGGGCGCTACAGGCTCCACCTGCCCGAGGCCCCGTGTGTCCCGGCCCCAGGAGCTTGACACAGCCCCTGGCGTTCTGGGGAAGACCCTCTCAGGCTGAGATCCCTCCCAGGGCACAGCGGCTCCTCCTCGCTGCTCACCCTTCCCACCCTGTGTCAGGCAGCGCGGCGTGGCCAGCTCTGGGCCTCACTGAAAGAGCCTGCTCATGACTCCATTCCATATCAGCCCTGCCAGCAGCACTGCCTCCCTTTGGCTTACTCATTTCCCAGAATTTTTTTTTTTGAGTTGGATTTTTCCCTTTGTTTTTGTCTTGTCATTTTTTTCCATAGTATAAACCGGAACCTTGTGGCCAGCATGAGGGCCAACCCAGGGTTTCTCAACCCCAGCACTGCTGACATTCTGTGCTGGACGGTTCTGTCCTATGGGGGCTGCCCTGTCCATGCATCCCTGGCCTCTACCCATGAGGTGCCACCAGTGCTCAATCAACAGTGTCTCCAGAAATTGCTGGGTGTCCTCTAGCTGGCAAAAATCACCCCTGGATGGCAAAACTGCCCCTGGTTGAGAACCACTGGTTTTGCCTGTGGCACGTTGAACATAAGTGGACTACTCTGGGCCTCTGCAGGCTGAGGGCCCAGGGCCTCTGTTTGAGTTTGTGCAGTGGGGCAAGCCCTGGCCTTTCTACTCCCTGATGAAGCCCCTGGAAGGCCAGAAGGCCCTGCCTGGCCCCCACAGGTTGGAACTGAGGCTGTCAGCATGGCCTGGCTTGTCCTCCTGCCCAGCCACACCCATTCCCAGGCTTGGGGGTCAGCACCTTAGCTTCTGCTCTCTGCTAGACCTTAGAGGTCAGACAGAGCCGCATGGATGGAGCACCAAGGTTTGGCTTTTTTCCATTTATGGTTACTATTACTTTTGCCATTGCCATTTGGGGTTCTGAGCTGAGGACCCTGGAGACTGAATCCTCTCAGGGCCCTAAGCCACAATGAAATGAATCTTCAAGAAAAAAAGTCCCCTGCATCCAGGAAGGTGGGAGCACGAGGTGACGTGTTCTTTGAGTGACAACGGCCACCAAGACTCTGGACCAGGAACAGACCACCTGCAGTTTCCAGAGGGAGACCAGCCAGTGTCAGCAGCCTTCCAGAAGATGCTGGGCTCAGCGACTGGAGATGTGAAATTCTGTGCCCAGACTAGGTCAAAGCAAAGCTCTTTGGAGGCAGCATTGTTCCACCGACCTTGGCCCTCACGAAGATGAGCTTGTGGAGAAAAGGCAAGGCCTCAGGGACGGCTCTCTCCTCAGGAAAGCAAACAGTGGTTAGCAGGTCATCACTCCCAGAACAGCTGCACCAGACCTGTGATTGTACCTCCATCCTGAAGATGACACACCCTGACATGACACCTCGGCCCAGCAGGATCCCTGGGGACCTGAGAGGCAATCACAACTTGATCGCCCTACAGCAGATACCTCCAGGAGTGCCTGCGTTCTGAGAGGTGGAGAAAGGGAGCTGGGTTCCAGCCCCAGTCCCCAACTAAGCTGCAAGGCCTCACTCCATGGGATCTAACTTCGGCTGGGGCCTGGGTTCATTTCAGAGCACCAGAGCCCTGCCAGCTAAGATCAAGGACCATGGACACAGGTATGACTGGGCCTTAGTGCCTGCCCCAGGTCATCCAGTCATGGTGGACATTGTCCACAGCCCCTGAAGTCCTGCCCTTCTTCTGTCAACTACCCAATGCCAGTCCCCATGGAGAGGATTCTCTGGGGAGCCACAGGACCTGCCTGCCATACCCCAGGGACCTGCCATGTCCTGCTCCAGGGCAGCCCCATAGGGAGAGTTGGCATTGCTGGGGGCCACAGGGCGAGACACTGGGCAGAGAGCCCTGCCTGCATCCTGTCTCAATGCTGAGAAGCAGGGGAAGGCTGCTGGGAGGGCCCTGCACACGTGGTTCCAGATCCTGGCTGTGGCCAAGGTGGTAGGCCTGAGCCGGCTCTAGGAGAAGGGCTGGCTGGAGGGGCTCACCTGAGCCTAGTGCAGGATCAGGGGTGGGGAGGGTACCTGGGAGCAGAGTGCAGGTGAGGCCGGTGTGGGCAGGTGGGCTTCAGCTACTGTGCTAGCATGCCTCCCTATCAGCAGGTCAGTAGTGGTCTGGTGTCTGTGGGTGCCTGTGAGTTAGGGGGCATGGGACTGCTGTGCAGATTAGCTCCTGTAGGCACACTCTATGTCTCATGCTGATCTGAGAGTTTGACAAGATGGATCTGAGAAACTCAACATCACTCAAAGACATCCAGGATGAAGCTGTCCTGAGTGCTGGCCCACACTAGGGCGTGGAAGGGGAGGGGAGGGGCAGGAGGAGGAAGCCCATGTTCCCCACCAGATCAGACAGCTTATGGAGCCCCCAGACCATGCTCCAGGCTTGGCCTAAGTTCACTGGGAGCAGGCCAGCCAGAAGTCACTGCTGGGCACTGGCAAGACCAGCTGACCTTCCCCTGTCCCTGATTTTCTATCAGTCAGGGGAGTGCCCTGGGCCTAGATGGGCCAGAGAGATGACTTCATAACCCCAAAGATGGCAGAGATGTGACTCATTTCTGCGTGGCACCAGAGCATCCTGAGTGTCTGCTCTGCATGACCCCCTGGAGAGGGTGGAGTATGCCATTTCACAGATGCAGAAATTGAAGCAAAGGATTGCAGTGCTAGGTAGGATCACCTCTGCAGCCAAAGAAGCTGGACTCTAATTCTGCTGCATGTCCTGAGACCACTGTGTGGGACACAAGGCAGCCCCTCTTCTCACAACAGCTGAAAGATAAGGAAACGTGACCCGCATCATTCTTCCAGCTGAGAATAAGTAGCCAGGTCCTGCATGGTTCTCCCATGTCCTCAGCAACTGGTGTAAAATGCTCCTACCCTAATCTGCTGTGTGATTCTGTCCTGAGGAGGCTCTGAGGCCTTCTCACATGGGCCAGAGTTGAACAAGGCCTTCTGTGGCCCCTGGCTCCCAGCTGGAACTCAGGTTGGGGGTCGGCAAACAAAACAAAGGGACCCAATACACCAGATCTGCTGTTGTTCGTATGCCCTGAACCGAGGCCCTATCCCAGGCATGGCCCAGCACACTTGGATGTCATGGTGAGGCCCAAAGGACCCCCAGACCCACTGTTTTCACCCAGCGTGGGATCAGAGCATGGGCCACAGAGAGACACATGGCAACCTCCATCCATCTTCCAGGCCCCTGGGCTTGGCCTGGGTCCTGCTCAGAAGTCAGGCAGCCAAGCTTCTCAGCTTCAGACGTGGACAGCCAGGCCTGGCATGAACCCTGCTCCCTGTAGGAATTGGGCCAGTCAGCCCACTGACCAGAGCCTCTCTCTCCTTGGCTCAGAAGAGGAACACCTGTCTTGTATTGTTGTAGGGCTTGGCCCAGAACAAGCATGGTGCTGAGTTCATGGCCAGGGCTGCACCGATGGAAGCCTCCAGAGCTTCAGGTGGGAGGCCCCTTCTCTGTCCCTTCTTCATCTGCATTCCCAAGAGCTGGCCAGAGGCCAGACCTCTCAGCTCTGGCACCCATCATTCCTGTGGCCTCAGTGTTCTGCAGATCCGCAGAGAAGTTCTCCGGAGGAGCCGCGCTGGCCAGGGTGGGCCCCGGGCATTCAGAACCAAGAGGAAGACTTGGCCACATATTGAATGCCTACTGTGTGCCACACACTGGGGACCTGAAAAGGCATCGGCAGGGAGCGCACATGCTGAGGGAGAGCCTGCGGCGTCCTGGGGTGGGGGTCGCCCCCAGCGGGGAAGCAGGTCTCTGGGCCCCTCCCAGCGGCCCCCCCAATCCCCCCTCCCTGGCCAGGACACTGCACAAACCAAACAGTCAGCCCAGAGGCACCAGGATCCCAGGTTTAGTCTCCTATCCATCAATTCCACCCTGCCTGACAGCAGGATATGTATATGTACGCATGTATATACATACGTATATGAAATCCACTGAAAGTCAGGGCCATGTGGGACCACGTTTTGTTTGTTTCCAGCTATTAGAGAAGCTGCCCCAACCCGTGTCCTGTTGGCAGATGGCTAAGACCAACTTGACACAGCAGGGGTTGTGGGGGGCATCAGGACCCCACCTGTGCATCTGCTCTGCCCACCTGGAGGCCCCTCCCCCAGCAGGCTGCCAGTCCAAGAGGAGGGTATAAAGTTGGGGCTGGTTGAAAAGAATTTTTTTTTTTTGCTTTTGGAAAACCCCATTTTTTTTTTAACTCGTTGCAACCCTGCCACCGTCTCCTGCCTGAGCCCCTCCGACCCTACACCAGGCCTGCAGCAGGTGGGCCCTGCACCTGAGCCTGGCGGCGGTGGCGGCAAGTGCCTGGCAGGCAGTGCCCCGGCCTCATGTCCATGTCTAACCTCTGGTATTGCATGTTCTGGGCAGGGAAGCGAGGGCGTCGCAGCAGTGCGGGATCGCTAGAGAGCAATGTGGAAGTAAGTAGGAAGCACCCACGTCCAGCTGGCTGTCGTGTGTTGCCTCCCCATCCTCAGTTTATATCTGTTGTCCTTTTTTTTTTTTCCTCTTCCTTCCCCTACCACACAGAGGCACAGACATGCTCCGTCCCCCTGCCTGCCTCAGCCCCAGTGCATGCCAGCTTCCCTCTGCCTAGAATCAGCCGTGCCTCTCACCGCTTGTTTGGGCTGGACCGGCGGGGTGGTGGTTCTGGATTTTGTGTTTTAGTTCCTGCTTAACCCCAGTCCCCTGTGGTCCTGAGCATGGTTAACGTCCCCAGCTTACTGGCACTACCCCCGCCCCCACTGCCAGGATCCGCACCTGCCAGCACTGCTCACTGGCAGAAGGCACCGGCTCCAGACACCCGTGCACTCTCCTCCCTGGCTGTCGGGGTTTGCCAATCTCTCGACTTCCATGCTCTGCCATCCCCATCGCTTTCTTCCTGGAGTTTTGATTGCTGTGTGTCTGCAGTCAGGGCACCATGGAATTGCTTAACTAGCTCGGGGGAGGAGAGCCATGAGAGAAAGAAAACTTCAGTGTGGATTTCATGAGATTTCATTCATTTTCCAACAACCATCTCGATATTCCTGTTCACATCTTAATCTCAGCTTGCTGATCTTTTCGTTTCCTCCTTTTTCCTTGTTTGGTTTGCAGTAGGTAGATGCAGTGAAATGCCTAGGCAGTCCCCTGCCCAGGACGAGGTTCCCCAAACCCTTCTGGCCCCTGTCACCCCCTTCCAGAACCTTGGGACCCACACAGGCCAAGCAAATGCCCTCAGACCCCCTGAGAGGACCCAGGAGAGCTCAGGGCGTGATTTCAGCAGGAACGTGGTTCCATGCGCACCAGTCCACCCCATGCCACTCAGCACACGCCTCTCACAGACACCCCCAAGCAAGTGGGTCTGATCTGAAAGCTCAGGCCGCCTTCCGGGACAGAAGCAAACTTGTGCTGCTGCTGACCGTAAAGGAGGGTCCCCTACCCCACCCCACTTCCTCCTTGGAAGGCCATTTCTCAGGGTCCCTCCAGCACCCCCAGCTGTCTTGCCACAGTAATGTGAGAGGAGGTGGTGCCTGTGCCCAGCCTCACCTACCCTGCCCTCTGTGGCCAGCCAGTTGAACAAGGCTTAGCAGTCAGTGGGTGAACTTTTTACCTTTTTTTCTTTTTTAATCATTCTAACATAAGTGCTTTAAGATCTTTTAATTTTGATTTCTATGAATTTCCTTTTTAGGGGTCCATCATTAGCAGTCCTCACATGCGCCGGAGAGCTACATCAACACGAGAATGTCCATCTCGCCCACATCAGACTATGCCTAACTCCTCCTCCCTCCTGGGCTCCTTATTTGGGAGTAAGAGAGGGAAGCCCCCTCCCCAGGCCCACCCGTCTTCAGCCCCTCCCCAGCCACCCCCACACCCACCAGGCCTGCCCCACCCACTGCATGCAGTGCCTGGCCATCACCAGGGGCCCGCCGAGGGCCTGCCGCAGGCCCAGGTGCATGGGCACCACACCCAGTACTGCCACATGCAGCAGAACCCACCCCCCTACCACCACCACCACCACTACCACCCGCCCCAGCACATCCAGCATGCACATCAGTACCACCACGGCCCCCATGGGGGCCACCCACCCTACGGGGCCCACGTGCACAGCCACCCACCGCTGCCCTCAGCCCATGTGGGCCACGCAGTGCACCACCATGGGCAGCCCCCCGCCCCACCGCCCCCCACCAGCAGCAAGGCCAAACCCAGCGGCATCAGCACAATTGTGTAGACAGCGTGAGCGGGGTCCCTGACTCCCTGGAGCAGCTGTACACCACACAGAGGCACGCCCAGGGGTGGGCAGCCTCACACCAGACCCAGGGCACTTTCAATTCCGTCTCTCCCCTGCTCCCCAATGGCCTGGATGGAGCCCCTGATCCCACAGGGCTTACAGGGAGCAAAGCTCCCGAAATTTAGTGTTGCACCCCAGGCTCCATCCACCTTGACCTGGGGGGTGGGCCTCGGCCCCCACTGGCCCTGAGACAGTGCTGCCGGGCACGCAGGTGTCAAACTGCTCCGCCACCCCCCACCTCAGCTCTCTGCTCCCTAATCATACATGCGTATGAAAACCCAGCCTAGGAAGAGAAGAAATGAGACACAAAAACCAGAGACAGAACAAAACAACACAAAACAAAAAACCGAAACTTGCTGCATTATTGCCCTTTTATTGACAATGGGCAAAAAATTAAGTAGACCTGATATGGTTGATGAAAATACATAAGCAAACTTTATATAATATAAATATATAAATATATAAATATATATATATATACTGTATAGGTAGTATTTGTGTGTGGAAAGCAAATGTTTCAGTCCACAAAATTAGCAATATAGACTTTACAAGGAGCTCCACTTAACTGATAGGAAGACAGCACCTTAGGTGAATGTGTGAGAGACTAGACCAAAATCTTAAATGCTAGGAAAATATTCAGATACTTCCATATTTTCATAAAAAGAGAAGTCCCCGTAGGACTGGCTAAAAATCTTTACGCAATCATTTCTAACTGTGCCAAGTAACAGCATCTAACTGTTTAAAAAGCCCAATATTGCTTTGTATAAATCCTTATTTTATTAACAGAATATTATCATAAATAATCAGTATTATAACTGCTCTGTTATTTCAGGTGAGCAAGTAGATAAAATGCAGTAAACTCTACAGTAGCAACTCAGGATGGCCAGTTAAGACCTGGTCGTCTTTGAATATTGGTTACACAGATTCTTAGACACTTTAATGGCTGCAATAACTGTGAACTTCCATGATCCATATTTCTTTGATCTGCATATGATTTAATGCACACTCATTCAGTCCTCTGAAAGGGGCCCCCATACACGGCAGAAGTATTCATCTCCAGCATGGAAACGACCAACTCATCCTCGTCTCCCCAACACCATAACTTACTCATCCTGTTTCCAACCACAACAGGCAGAAGCCCCTGAGCGTGTTTCCACCAGGAACCACTCTCGAACCCAAAGGCTGCTTCTAGCATTTAGTGACCCAGGGTGGTGTGTGTGCTTCCCGTTTTGTTTTCTGAGTGGTAGCCGTGATCATCCTGATTCCATGTAGCCGTGTGCTAGCACAGCCCCGTGTCGTCACCGTGGCCCATCTGACCCCGGCCGGCGAGTGCCCAGCCCTCACCAGCGAAGCCCCCTGCTGCCCTCTCATGGTCCAGTTAGCTGCCAGGGCATCACATGACTCTCAGCTGTGCTCTTGTCGCTTCCGTGTTGTGGTGACACCATCTGCTCCCCTGGGGCCTGGCGCTGCACACGTCTGGTTCTGTGCCTGAGTCACCCATGGGCCATACTTTGTAGTTTCAGCCTTTCGAGCCACTGCAGCCACCAGTGCTATGCTCCTAAGCCATGGGACCCGAGGACTGCCCCACGGCACCTGCCCAGGCGGAGAGCCCTTTCAGAAAGGGCGAAGCTAATGCAGGACTCTGCAGGCCGCGGGTGCACACTCCGCAGATGGTGTGGCGAGCCATGGCCGGACGGCAGGACGACAGAGGGAGCCCACCCCGGCAGGCCGGCCAGGGGTTCTGCCCACGTCCCTCCCTTCCCCCGCCTTTGTCATATCATTGAGGTTATCATACCAGCAAATCTGCAAACCGAGCACTTTGTTAATCTCCACAGAGAGCGAATACAGCAATCTAGAGTTTAGCCTTTTTTAAAAAGAAGTGTGACTTTCTTCTGCCCACCTTTATCTTCCTATCGGTGGGTTTCCCCTCTTGGGCATCTGCTCAAAAAGGGAGAGAGTGAAAAGCACGGGAATGTGTGATGTGGTCCAGGCCGGGCTGGTGGGAGGCTCCCGGGTCCACTGACTCCTAAATCCTTGGGTTTTCCTTCAAAGTCAGGCTCCCCGAGGCATTCTCCGTCTTGCAGTTGACAGGATGTTGTTCTGCCAAGCAAAAGTCAGATTGTATTGCATGTCATCCGGCGTCCGTCGTGTGAGGCCACACTCTATGTATCGTATATTTGCAAAATATATCAGTGTTACTGTTGACAAATAGTTGAAGTAAAGTGATAACATTGAATATGTTGGCTCTTCTTCACTCTCTGTACCAATCGTAGAGTCTAACTGTAAACTTGCGGTTGTTCCAGAAAAGATGCAGGCTGTTTGGTACAAGATCGCCTTCTGAAAGGATAGTCACTGATGCAAAACAGAACCAAGAAAATGAACAATAAAGCCAATAGGGAAGGAAATGGGGAGCTCTCTTTCCATTGCTGTCCTGTGTGCTCTGAAGGCCATGCAGCGCCCACCTCCAAAATGGTCCTTAGTGTGTCCTGAAGCTTTGTTGGGTGCCCCAGGGCCAGATCTAATGAAAGGGAGCTTCTTGGACAAATTCAGTTTCTCCCCATGTTTCCAACTTTGTTACAGAGTATGGGGTTTCTTCATTCTGTGTGCTTTATGAACTTATGGGAAGTGTTTCCAGGGGAAACATTGTTCCATTGAGGAGGCTGGAGCCACACTGTCCATATCTTGTTTGGGAAGCAAAGGCCTCTGATAAACTGGTGTCTCCCATTTCTGTTCATGGAACTGTTCACTGTAGATCCCAACCTGTCACGGAGTCACAGCTGTGGGGAACTATCCTTCACCGCCCCACCCTCAGGGTAGGAGGCAGGAGGCTGAGTGCAACCGAGATGTTTGTGCCCACCTTTCTTACTGTCAGGACATGCTTGGGGCATTTCTCCCAAGTCACACAGATTTTTTTCAGTTATATAATTTCTACAGGGGCAGGAGACCCTTAGAAGAAGTGACTGATAGCATCACAAAAATCTTTTCTGGGACAACAAATCATGTATTTGTATTTTTTTTAAGTTTACAAATGAATTGTACAACAATGTAAAAATAAAGTTCATCCTAATATGATGTGCACATCTTGCTTAAAAATGTCTTCAGTCATCCAGTATAGAGCAGTTTTTCCATCATGCACTGCATGCAGCAGAAGCCTCTTGTTTTTCTTTAAAATGAGCTGAAAAGACAGTCAGCAGATATTTAAACATGATCCTAGGTGTTGACTCAGCATTCCATACGAAACTGTGTCTCTACAGGTAAGCATGCATTTTACAGTTTCGTTGTAAAATATCATCACCCTTCCTGCCTGAAAAATGAGTAACTTTGTAACTATTTTAAATAACAATAACCAAGGAAACAGATTGCAAAATGAATCAGCGTGAGGTGGGGGTGGTGAGAGGGACAAGCAGGAGGAGCTATGTAACTTGGACCTTGCGTGCACATTAGTGTAACTCTGTCTGGTCATGCTGAGGTTGTGTGCAGTACCCATCTCTTGGTAACTGTTATTCACCTTCAAGTTGTTTTAAATTATTAGAATCAGGTCTTGAATGCAGACTGTTCAAAGACTTCAAGTGACACATTGCTCACAAGAAGCCTGGCACCCACTGTGTAACTTTGGGGAAGAAAGGAGTGCTTTTGTTTTAATATGCATTCTGTTTGTGAGTAGTAACAGACTCTATTGATGTAAAACCATAGCTGTGATCATGTGGAGAAATCAAATAAATCCTTTAAAACTCTCGGGTTCTTACTTTTTCTGAAAAGTCCAGCAGTTTCCCTCTTGGCCAGACAGAGATCTCCAGCTGACAAGTTTGCCCATCCCTGGAAGACAATGGACTGACTTTAATTTGAAGATGCTCATGTGAGACAAGATAAAGGTGCATATCACAGTGTAGGCACTGATAGAAGATTTCAAAGGTATTTATCATTTCTAGCACCTTTCAACAAATGATATTGCTTCTGTTGAGTTAGGAGATGGGTTTTTGGAAGTATCAAGGTGGACTGGGAACAGTTCATGGGGGGACCTAGTGGCCCATATGCTTGAAAGATCATTCATGAGGTCAAAGCTGCCTGTTTTTCCGTGTGACTGTGACATGCAGAAGTGAGGATGGTGATCCTGATTCTACAGAAAGGAAGAGTTCTGTGAGAACATGATTGGCTTGTATTATTTCTCCTTTCCTGAAGCCAAAATCAGTTCAGTAGAATACCCACCTTAGAGTTTCAGTGTGTATCCAAAAATGAAGTAAAACTGGTAGATCTAATTTGGGTTGGATTTTAAAAGGTTAATTTTAGTGACCAGCATTAGCTATGGCTCGCCCTACATAGAGAAGTGAGCTCTTATCAAAAGCTCTTCTCAGACAGCTATAGCTGGGTGGCCACCCCTTTGCCAAGCTATTCAGAGGCTCTTCGATCCAGTGAGGCTGGTCACTAAAATTCCCTGAAATGCTTAACTCTCCTTCAGTGTTTGATTCTGTGATGCACAGGGCTGCCCTCCACCTGCCGCTTGGTGCAGGTGAACTGCTGAGCCAGGGCTTCGAAGTGATTGTTCTCTGGGTTTTGGGTTTGTCTCCCCGACCCTACTGTGAACTGCTTGGGGACACAGGGTGCATCTGATACACTTCTCTGTGTCTAGAGACCAGCACAAGACTGGTCTTTTCCAATGCATCTGAGAATGAGATTGAATTTATGGTTTGACAGGGGAGGGGAGAGTCACAGCCAAATCACTGGCCAATTTTGGCAAAATCATCAGCCTCAAGAGTTTATGAAAATTGGTTTGCTCAGCCCTTTGCTACCCTTGCTATTGAGAAGTGTACCTGGGGACATGCATGACCCAAACTTTCACAAGAGTGATTCATGCTGCCTGACTGCCTTTGTCCCTGAGTCACTGTGCGTTTTTAGCCCCCATTTTACCTCTCCACAGCTTTTGACACTATTCACACATTCCTTCTTGAAACACTGCAGTGTTTGCTTGCCGTCTTGGATCCCACACTATCTTCTTCTTCTCTGGGGACACAGTCACTTCTCTGTTGCAGGCTGATACTGATCCCGGGAGTCTTTAAGTGTTGGCTTGAGAATCTGGTCCAGGCCTTTTCCTTTTCTTCACCCTCCTAACAGTTTCCTGCAGACCCACAGTTTCAGTCTACCTTCTATGTACCCACAGCTTCCAAATGTGAATCTCCAGCCCAGGTCTCTGCTCTGAGCACTAACTTTCCCTTGCATCTTTCAATAGAACCTCAAATTCTTTGTTTCCATGACCAAATTCATAATCACACACAGACACGCACAGGAAACTGCAGTCTCATTATGTTCTCTGTTTCGGCAAGTGGCATCACCATTGAGTTGCACAAATCAGATGCAGGAATTGTTCTCGATTCCTGTCCTTTCCTTGGCTTTCCAAATCCATTCTCTCACCAAGCCCTTTTGGTTTTTCACTCTTAAATATTCTTGAATCCATCCATTTCTGTTCACATCTCTCATCCTACTTCAGGCTCATTATCTGTCTCTCCCCTGGACTAGAGCTCCCTAACCGGCCTCCCAGCCACCCCAGGGGGGCCCTCCAGTCTGTTCTCCATGTGGCATCAGAGGCATATTCTTAGAGCCATGTCAGTGGCTTCCTATAACCCTTACGGTTAAAAAAAAAATCCTTAATGTGGCCTTTGTGAGGCCTGCATGACCTGGCCCCTGCCTTCAACCCCCTAACCCCCCTTTCCCTTACAGTCCAGCCACACAAGCCTTTCAGATGGCCAGGCAAGCTGTGTTTTCTCCTGCCGCTGGGCCTGGGGCCTCCCTCAGAGGTGGATGCTTTTGCCTGCATCTTTGTTTAGTGAGCTCCTCTTTCATCCATAAGATTTTAACTCAGCCATTGAACTCCCTGTGGCGCGTGCCCTGGAGCTGTATATCCAATGGTGTGGTCATCCTGTTAGAGTGAGCGTGACAAGGTCAGGATAGGGGCTCCTGCTGCACACTGCTGTACTCTCCACACATGGCCAAAGTAGAATTTACATAAATGTTGAATGAATAGATGAATACCTCAGGACCAAGGAGGGGAATGCAGTGCTGAAATCCTGGTGTGATTTGGTGGTTCAAAGTGAGATCCAGCACAGGCAGGGGGCTGGTGGGGAGACTGGGTCCTGTGGGTGTTCCTTGTGAGCTCAAGGAATAATTTGGGCAATGATTACCGGCTTTTAATCATTATGCTTAACTTTTTTTTTTTTTAACATCTACCATATTTGCAACTATCTTCCATTTGTTACTCTTATTTTTTGTTACTTTCTATTTCCTGTCCTCCACTTCTGGCTTCTACAGCTTTAACTGAGCATTTTATATGATTTATCTTTTTTGCCTTTCTGAGCTATCCTTTTTTTTTTTTTT